TCCCTTCCAGCCCTAATGTCTATGAAATCTATGAAAAGCCCATGCAGAATCTCTGTTAAAATCAGCAGCTGGGAGTTTCAACACTAGCTAAAGATTCTGGACATCCAAGTCTTACTGACATGCAGTAGTCATTGAGTACCTGTGGCCCCAGCAGAAAAATACAGGTCCACATGTGTTTCTTTCATTTGTGGTCTGCATGTTCCCAACTCAGGACCTATATGGACTTAGAAGCAGCAACACAGGGATGCAGCTGGGCAGTCAGGGCACAAAGGCATCAGGGACTTCTGCTTGCCACTATGATTGCAATTGTGACTGTGTGACTGCTAGCAGCAGTTGCTTTTCCTCCCACCTCCTCCCAAGTTGTGCCTGGGGCAATAGCCCCATATACTCCACTCTAATTATGCCATTGTGGACAAGCTTAAGTTTAAGCAGTTATTTCTGAAGATCTTGGCCTTAGTATTTCATGAGTCACTTTCCAACTCATGTTGAGTAATGAACAAGTTACTTTGGAATATATTTTAAAACTTGCCTGTAATTTGTGTTATGTGCATTTTTAAATAGTGGGCCAGATAATGACAGTTTGAACTTACAAAACATCCTCTGAATCACTGTTCAGCTGTTGCTGAACATTTTTCTGCAGTTTGTGTTTCAAGTATTGAAAACCCAGGTCTAGTAAATAATATGACCAGGAACTCTTATTACAAGGTTGGCATGCATTCCACTTAATGACATGCTTCTTGAAGCAGTGGTTGATTTTTAAATCCTTTTTTTTTCATTAGTGAAATATAAAACGTTAATAATACCTTACATTGTAGTACTGTTTGCTAGCACACATCTTCCATGTTCCACACAATGCTTTATGGAGTCCTGCTAGTAACCTCTTGCAGCATAAATAGAATTTGTTCACAAAATAAAAATGTATTGTTTTCATTGTTAGAAGATACTACCAAATTGGCTGTATGTTTGTCTAATAATCACATCTAAAGTTGATTATTCTGGTAATAGCCTTAAGATATTATTTAAAAATAAATAAATAAATGCACTACTTCTGTACTAATACTAGTTTTTAATCTCTTCTTGTTTCTATGAAGTCTGAATGAGATTTTCAAAATTGAATAATAATTTGATCCGTTAATCTTTTGAAGCTAGTAATTTTATTTTCCCCTCTTTGCAGTCTCTGAGGCTCGCAAATGAATAGAGCTTCATTACTGGAGTCTGCATTTAATAACCATTATCCATTATCTTGTAATTAAGACTCCCTGTAACGAATCATGAGGACAATGCAAAAATACATAGTACATTTCTTTAATGAACTGGAAAATGTTCATCTTGTTCTATTTAGTAATGAGTTGCTGAATAGTCGTTAAATCCACTGGAGAAAAGAGCTAGATGGATTTTGAAGACTATCTTGAGTTTGTGGTTAATCTATTAGAATTAAAATTTCATCTTCTATTTTTATCAACAGCTGATTAGAAGTCATTCTGTTTGACCAAATTGATTAGAAGACCATATACAAGGGCAGCTGTTGTTTAATGAAAGTTTTTAATGAAACTGTACCATAGAGGCTTGTAATTATAAGACTTATAAAAGCTTTGACTTACCTTATACGAGGGGAAAAAAAGAATTGTACTGAAGGACTTAAACTCTGCAGTTAAAAGGGAAACTGAAACATAGAATTTGATAATGTTAAAGTTTCATTTCCTTTTTTTAAAATGTGACTGTCAAGCATGCCAAGTTCTGTTCCTTTTAATGAGAATTGCCCATACATATCTTCCTGGCTTGCATGAATCTAGTTCTTTGCAACATTCAGTCAACAATCCATTGCCCCTTACGTAAAATTCCTTCTCACTAATATGAAACCTTTTCCTATGTTTCCATACTGTGATCTTCAGGAGATGGAGCATTTGAAGAGTAAACAGTCTAGCCTGTACTTGGTTGGGATCCGTACAGGATAACCCTTGGTGCTACAGAATGTAACAATAATGGGTCAGCGGGTAACCTTTTTATCCTTTATCCAGTAGTGAAGCAGCTCCAGTTTATTAATTTGAGGCATGTAGAGGTGCCATCATTTAGATGAAATCTTACTGTCTCACCTTACACTATGGCTAGGATGGTCTAGATAGGAATGATTTTGCCTTGAGCAGGGAGTTGGACTAAGAGACTTGGAGTCCCTTCTAGCCCTACTTTCCTGATTCTTTGATTTTTTTTTTTTTTACTACTTTTTACTTTCTGCAAAAAGTAGGTTCCCAGCAGTTGAGTGTGCACCACTGACATTTATGAGAGAAAAAGCAGACCCCACATGACTTGTTTGAAGGCTGGGGGTGG